AAAAATGTGTTCAGAGAGATACGACAAAATGTTGAAAATTCATATGAATATTAAATGAATTCATCACATCAAGTTTGTAACATAAAATAACAAGTGGGAATTTAAGAACACATCATGCGAGACAAGAATAATAGAAAATGTAACACAGATGTAGACAGATAAATTGCACGTATAAATTAGTCTCCAAGAGCTTTGGTGATGAAACAAATCCAGACACATTGATTAGCACAGAAGTTCGGGAAGAAGAGAGTTTGATGCATATCTGATGGTACCATTTTGGAAGAAAGTGATTGTTTTGAACTAAGAGCCTTGCAGATCACAGGTAATTACAAATTTAGCAAGACATGTTTCACCTTTGTTATTAATTCTCAGTATGGAAAAAAGATTTTGCCTTTAAGAAACCCTTTCGATTTTCCTTTGTCACAGTTGATTAAGGTTGTGTCAGTAACCAGTGATTTTGTCATAGGTTGACCAGTTTCAATGGATTCTTCTTCTGCTGCTACTGCTACCTACACTGCAGTACCTGAAACAGATCCCCAGATAGAACACATAATTGACATTCCTAAAGAAATTCAGCCTGCACAGCATGAACAGTGTTGTATTTACAAGGTTCCTCCAAATCTCAGAAAGTTGACTGAAGGGGAAGCCTATGAACCAATTTTGATCTCAATCGGCCCTTTTCACCACAACAAAAAACCAGAACTAGAGCCAATGCATAGACAGAAGCAAAGGTACTTTCTTTCCTTCTGGGAACGTGTGACAAACAAAAGGGCTTTGTCCGGTTACAAAGTCTTCCTCAGTGACAACATTGAAACCATAAAACACAGGTATTCAGAGCCAACAAGCCTCAGCAAAGATGAGTTTGTGAACATGATCTTGTTAGACTCAGTCTTCATCGTAGAGCTCTTTCTGAGAAAATCCAACATTTCTGAACAGAAAAATGACAACATATTCACCACAGCATGGATCTGCAAGAACATCCAGAGAGACCTGTTACTACTTGAAAACCAGCTTCCCTTTTTTCTCTTGGAAAATCTATACAAAAGTGTTAACAGGCTAAGCGATCTAAGCTTTCTTGAGCTTGCAATCAACTACTTTGAAGATTACTATCCACACACCTCAACACCAGACAAAAAAACCATTGACAAGAACTTCTCATCTTGCAACCACTTCACTGACTTGGTAAGGCGTTTCTACCTTCCAGAAAAGGTTAATGCCAAGGATTGGATGCCATCCAAACACTTCACTCCCTGCAGCAAAAACGAATGTGTCCTCAAGACTGCAACAATGTTGAACGAAGCAGGAGTTAGCTTTGAGAGAGTACACCATAAAGGTTTGCTAGACATAAAGTTTCAAAAGATTCAAGTTTTGAGCTGGTTTCTTTGCCTAGGTTGTCTACCATGTTTCACATGTGTAAAAGCCCGTTTCAGAATCCCTCAGTTAAAAGTGCTTCAAACAACAGAATGTGTGCTGAGGAACCTCATTGCCTTGGAGCAGTGCCACTATCCAGAAGAACCTTTCATGTGCAACTATGTTTCTCTGATTGACTCACTGATTCACACCAAAGAGGATGTTGAGTTGTTGGTGGACAAGGAAATCATTGAACATGAACTTGGCTGCCACAGTGAATTGGCAAATATGATAAATGGTCTTTGCAAGCATGTGGTGGTGAATTGCAACTATTATGGCAAAGTGACAAGGAAACTCAATGATCACTACAATAGTTATTGGAAGCGTTATATGGGTATGTTAAGGTCGGTGTATTTCCGTGATCCTTGGAGACTGAGTTCAACTGTTGTAGGAGTTGTTATCTTCTTATTTGCCATTGTCAACTTTCTTCGTGTTACTGGTTTGTATCATCCAAAACGATGATCTGTTTTTGATGTTGTGAACTGTAATGTAATCACTTCATTTCATGTTTTAACACTGCTCAACTGATTATGAATTGAACTAGTTTTTTTTTTCATTGCAATGATTAAATTGGACTCTTACCTAATTCTTTTAGAAAGTTCTTCAACCATATCATCTCCTTTGTTGCTTCTGAGATAGTTACATACTTAGATCTAATGGTTGAGAGCGAGACTCTTTCTTGAAGTTTAGACTTCCAACTATAGTTGTATTACCCAACATAAAAATATAACTTGTTATGCTCTTTCTAACATCCAAATCTCTTTCCAAGTTCGCATAAAAAACTTCTTGTAGAATGATAATTACTTCTTTTAAAAAGATAAATGCATATTTGAAATGTCCCTCAAATATCTCAAATATCTTAATATACACTTATTTTCAATGCTCCTTCTTGGGATTGGATAGAAACCTACTAACAACTCTCACTGCATGTGCTATGTCAAGTCTGGTGCAAACCATAACATACATCAAGCTCCCTATTGTAGATGTATATGTAAATTTAGACATGTAACTTTCTTCTTCATCTGTCTGAGAAGATTGTTCTTTTGAAAACTTTAAATAGATTCCGAAAGGTGTATTCCTTGTTTTTAGACCTTACTATACGAGTCAGGAATATTAAATTGGCTATTTGAATAAGCCTTAAGTGCATAAGATCAAAACTAGATTGTATTAGATAAAAAACTGGACTTTTGTATTTTCTGGTATGGCATTGAGCACTACAGACCGAACCAAAATGCGAATAGTTTAGACTGAATGGTGAACATGGAGAGCTGAGCACTAATGACCATTACAGGTTTGGAGCTGATTTTATGTCTTTGGCATTAAGCACCTAAAACTGACACTGAGCACCCTTTTGTGCGAGAACTTTTGTGTTAAGCGTCAATATAGGCGTCAATGTCCAGCATTTGTGAATTTTTTAGTGTATTTATCTGCAGTGATTTCTATGAATGTTATGTAAATTATTTAGTGCAAAGTTTGTGATGTTGCATAAACTATATAGTATGATGGTAAACATGTATGGTGCTTATTCATGTATGATAGATATTATGATGAACATGAGTGTGTTATTGATTATATGAATATGGTATATCATATGTGTTTGGCATAATTCCATGAATCTCGAGGGAAGATTCTATGGTGATGTTTAAGTACTGTAAACATTGATGTGGGAGTCCAGACATTGGAGGTTATGTTGACGGTCTAATAATCATCAAATCTCAAGTAGAGAAATGTGGGGTATATGTTGAGAGGAATAGGAGGTCTTGTCATAAGGATGATCTTATGGTTTTATGACCATGAAAGGGACTAACCTTGTGTGTGGTACGATGAAATCCATTAGCAATGACTTTGCAAAACAATAGAGGTCACCACAAGTACACGACTCCCCAATATTTCACATTAATGTTTTATCCGGATATTGAGTCTAGAAAAGTCATTTCATGTGATAGGATTGTTTCTTGAGTGAATGTTGTATAATGTTTATTTTCATATTTAATTATGAAAAATATTTTGGTACATTAACTTATCATTTCTGTTTGTATGTCTTTTTTTGTTTTTTATTATCTTATGTGAATCACATGGTATGAGCAGATAAAAAAATTATAGTTGTTCTAGTGCATATAAAAGAGATGTTAAAGCTTAAATAGAAATTGTTCTCTTTTTGTATAATTTCTTTTTCTTTTAAAAATTTAATATATATTAATTTTTATATATAACTTTTTGTATATTTAATTTATATTTATGACTATAATACAGTATTTGGTATCTATATCTCATCTAATTGTTTAATCATCATCTTGTAAGATGCATTTAATAGTTTTACATGAAATGTTACGACAAATACACTTTTATTTGTCTTATTTACTCACCGCCTCAATCATAAAATCACCGCCTAAATAATAAAATGATTCATCTATTGAGTATTTATTCACTTTCTTCCATTATAATTTAAATTATATACAAAGAGAAACTACAATTTTGAGAACCTTTAATGTAAGGACTAGGATTATACAAAACTTTCAAGATTCATTATCGACTATTAAATCTTAAAAGAATTTGATTTAATACTTAAATGTTCATGATGTTTTCATTGCTTTGCTCTTAGTAACTAGGTTTGAATTTATTATACCTATTATGAGAGACCTAAAAGAAAAATGTGAAAGCTCTATCTAATACCGTGTCCCAGATACAGTGTAAAAAAGTCATGAACTTTGAAACTAGAGACAAAGCAGCACAGAGCATGTTACCCCACCCAAATGATAAAACAAAGTAACACTGCACATTCTCAGCACATTCATTTTCTCTAGAAGTCTCTCTCAATTCACCATTTTTAAACCATAATTTTGAAATTGAACACATGTGATGATGAATTCTTGTATCTAAGGAAGAAAGACTTAAACTCTTGCATAATGTTCAACCAATCTTTGAATGAATACTAATGAGCAAAGTGAACTAAAGTTGTTAAATCAGTCAATAAATAGTAAGAAAATAGCATGTGGGAAAGACCACATCTTAGGAAAATTGTAAATGGTGGACCACTCAACATTAACAACAATTAAGCAGCATTAATCTGAGTTACTATAATTAAACATTCCCATTTTGTTAAAAACAAATGCACATGCATCATTGAAAACAGACAAAAACTGCATAACGGCTCACATAACAAGGTAGCAGAGTCTGAAAGTTACTGGAAGGTGTTACTCCTATCTTTTTAGGCCTTGCAAGCTGTAACACACCAGTGAAACACTTTCTATTCGAGTTTACCAGAACCACCTAGGTTTGTGTTTTATCTCTAGTTGGCCTCATTTGACAAAGGAAAAAGATTTTTGTGTTACCATGCTTGTTATGATTATGAAACATTTGTGTCTTTCCATTGGTGTTTGATGTATGTTTCAAGTTCAACTTTCTTGTTATTTTCTCACCATATAACAGTTTTTCATGTTATCTCAAATGCATGTGAAATGCAGGCCATTTTGAAACCTGAAAGCATCCAAGGAATTCAGACCAAAATCAAGGTTTAACCTCGGTTTTTCTTGCTGTCAGAAAGAAAAAGTTGTGTTTCAATGACTTCTGCTACTACTTTTACTGCTTTACCTGAAAATAAACCTCAGATTCAGCATATAGTTAACATTCCTGAACAAATTGAGCCTGAGATGCATGATCAATGTTGCATCTACAAGGTTCCTCACCATCTCCATAAACTGAATGTGGAAGCCTATACACCATATTTCATCTCAATAGGCCCTCTTCACAGTGAAAAGCCAGAGCTGAAGCAGGAAAAACTGAAGCAGAGGTATTTTCATGCCTTCTGGAAAACTTTATCTCAGAGGCAGTCTTTAGCTTTGTCAAAGTATAAAGTCTTCCTTGAAGAGAACAAAGAAAAGATAGGGAACTCTTACTCCGAGCCAGAACTCCACAAGAATGAAAATTTTGTGGACATGATCCTGTTAGACTCAGTCTTCATCATGGAACTGTTTCTGAGAAAAGCAAACAAATCTGAGAAGAAGAATGATTTGATGTTCACCACATCATGGATATGCAAGATGACTCAACGTGACTTGTTACTGCTAGAAAACCAGCTTCCCATGTTTGTGTTGGAGGAGTTGCACACAAGGGTCATCCTTGGAGATAATGGCACCAAGGAAAACTGTCTCAAGTTCACTGAACTTGCCTTTAACTACTTTGAAGACTATTATCCACACAAGTCAATTCAAAAGGTGGAGATGATCAAGAATTGTGAATCTTGCTTAAACTTCACTGATTTGATCAGATACACTTACCTTCCTAGACAAATCCAGGTTCATAAGAACTCATCACAACATTTCACTCCTTGTGCTGTGGAATGTGTTCTGAGGACTGCAACAAAGTTGGATGAAGCAGGTGTTAGTTTTGAAACTGTTGAAGGTAGGAACTATTTGGATATAAAGTTTGAGAAATCTCCAATTCTGAGCTGGTTCTTGTGTTTTGGTTGCTTACCATTCACTGAATGTTTCAAATCTCGTTTGCAAATACCCCATTTGAAGGTAGACCAGGTGACAGAATGTATACTAAGAAACCTCATTGCTTTGGAGCAGTGCCACTATTCAGACCAGCCTTTCATATGCAACTATGTGAATCTAATTGACTCCTTAATTCACACTCAAGATGATGTAGAGCTTTTGGTGGACAGAGAAATAATTGTGCATGAACTTGGCAGCCACAATGAATTAGCAACAATGATAAATGGTCTTTGCAGACATGTTGTTGTGACTTCAAATTATTATGGCAGAATCACAAGGGAACTCAACGAACACTACAACTGCGGTTGGAAACACTACATGGGTATGCTGAAGTCTGTATACTTCCGTGATCCTTGGAGATTCAGTTCAACTATCGTGGGAATTGCTGTGTTCTTGTTTGCTGTTTTAAACTTTCTAAGGGTCATTGGTGTGCTTCGACCAAAATATTAAAATTGATATGATCTTAGAATTTTGCCACACAAATGCTAACAACTGAGATTGAAAGATAGGCATGCTTGTTTTTTTTATCAGACTATCAATTCTGTGTTCCAACTATGAGATCGATTTCTTTTTCCACGATTAACCGAGTAGATTTATGCAATGTTATAAATGCAAACAGTTGGAGTGCACTCCCTGTTGTGAAGTGTGAACAGGGGAATCGCGTGAAACACGATTTGGGATTTTAATTATATTAAAAGTAAAGTTGGTGTTCATTGGAAATATTAAATCACTGTGACAGAGTGTCAAAGTCCTACTTGTTTTTACTCAGAGTAGTGACATCCACCTTATCAAATTTTTTATTCCAAATAAAAATAAAAATTGTTTTAGAAAACTTGCAATCAAAATGGTTCAATTTCTTTTAAATTACTGATTTAGATAGTTTCTTTTCAAAATTATGTAAATCGTGCTTGGGTTCACAATTTATGTTATTTATGTTATATATTTTATGAATATTATTATTTTGACACCCAACAAATTTTTATGCATATTTTATATTTATTATTTTATCTTT